ATCATTAAAATGGATGGATAGATTTTCACCATAGCATCAGCTAAATTAAATTAGTATTCTTACTACCTTTGATTAGCTTAATGTCTATTTATTATGCTAAATTTAACAATAGCTCTGTCATGTCTTTATTATTCCTATTTTCAGAAAATTAAATGGAGGAAAGGTGACTCAGTGTGTAGTATTTAAAAATTATGCATGTTACATGGAAGCAATCTAAATACTAAAAGAGTACCTTTTAAAAGTAAAGATGTTTTTTAAGAAACTTTATTTTTAAAAAGTAACACTTCTGATGCAAAAAACTTAGGTAATTTTGGAGTCATTTCTTTGAGGGACTCACATAAGTATGTACATAATTAAAATTGTGTCCATCCCCTCCCATTAAAAAATTACTCAATATGGTCAACCTGATAATCACTCTTTATATTTGTTTGTGTCTTCCACTTTCAATACGCTGATATGCAATCAATATTTTAGCTTTGCTGGATTTAGATAATATGAAATGTTTTGCATAGTCTGATCCTAAGCATGAATAAAGAGGAATCAAATTGATTTTCAGTCATCATTCAGTAAACACAATATCTATCAAGTAAATCCATGCCTGACATCTTTAGAATCAAAGACTGCTCAGCTACACTGATCAACACTGATTTATTTGCCACTAAAAATCTATATAAATTTATGATTACCTTTAAAAAATAATCCTATTTTTTCTCATTTTGCTTTATAATATTCTGTATAGCTGTTTCTCACACTATAACATTTATACACGCTGTGTCATTACCTTTTCATTGATAGGCAAACTAAATGTCTTTCAGAGTATTTTACTCGAGTCATTTATGTAGATTTCACACAATGATTTATTAAAGACAGGAAAGGACTCTGCATAAAAACCATGGCAACTTTGTCCTTATCCTCTAATGTTTTCCTCTGAAGTAAACTTAGAAAGAATTTTTTTAAACCTAACTGAACTAGGTTTTGGTGGTTTATTTTAAATAAATCATAACTACTATGGACAATAGTAGTGCTGTCACAATGCTTAATTTGATTTGGGAGTGCATGTAGGATAACAGAGTCAAAGGGGAGTAGAACAAATTTGATCTTGTAACAGAAGAGAAAAGGCAAGTGAGTGTGAGTGTTTTAGTGACATCCTTGGGAATATACGATATCTGATACTGAGAACACCTAGAGATGACTGAACTGGGAATCTAGCATGCTGATTATAACCTCCAATACATTGTACAAAGTCACCATGAAAAGACATTATTGAAGAATAAACAAAGGGAATGTTTTCGAAGCACTTGTTCCATAACCCGTGACCTCAAACCCACATAGAGACCTTGGTACGTAAACAGATGTAAATATTTCCAATATGAGGTGATGGAAGGTCCTGGAAATAACTCCAAGGCTTACACAGTGAGGTCCCTCCCCGCTTGCTAACCTGGCATGGTCATCCTCCAAACTACCTAACTGGCATGTTCCCTCTTAAAATAAGGTTAGACGTCACCTCTTCCACGAAAGGTTTCCTGACCTGCACAACATTCAGTTGTCCTGTGCAGTGTCCTGGAAAACTGTTTCTCTTTAGCATGGATTTCATCACATTATATTGAAATTTATAGTTTATTTCCCTTATAGTAGTGACTGAGACCTGTAACATAGTTCATTTTCTGGCCCATGGTAGCCATTCATTGCATATTCCCTAAAAATAATGAGTAAACAGGTAAATGAAGTAACAGCCGACAAAATAAATTTGGTAAGTGAGAGAATGAGTTACTTTACTGAGTCTATATTTGAATACATGTTTCATCTAGTTCAGAATTAACATAGGGTCCAACAGCCTCAGGTTCTAAGTGAGAAAGTAACTCAGAAGCTTCTAGAGACACTCAAAAATAAAACATTGATATTATAGTTATAAATGCTTCAAATTAGAAATAAAAGGAAGGGGCATCTAAAGGAAATCTATGTAGCATCGGGTGCGGAGGAATTCTACTTAAAATAAGAAACTTGGATAAAATTTTTCAAAAATAAATGTATACTTGTTCTTGAAGAAAAAAAAATCCTTTATGAATATTTATCATCAAATGATTCAGCTGTAGCCATAAAAATAGAATAGGAGTGAAAATATTTGGAATTCACTTAGGGTATTGCCTTAGACCACCCTGAAATAATAAAGGTTCCCTATAACTAATTATAAAGAAAACCCAGGGAGACATTTGTAAAGACAAATGACATACCAATAATTAAAATTGCTTTCTTAGGATTAAGGTCAAGTTCAGACTTTCTTAACATTTCTCAGAGAAAACTGTGTTGGAAACAGTCCAGCCCTCTAACAGTGACTACAATTTCATGAAATTAAATATAAACAAGAGATGTAACCATAATATAAAAATTTATATATCCTCATGAATATATTTATTATTAACTCACAGTACTGGATTTTTGTATAATTTTTCCCCCCATTGATATTTAGAGTGGAGGTGGGTAGAGAGAGAAACATCAATGTGAGAAAGACACATCTGTTGGTCGCCTCCTGCACGTGCCCTGACCGAGGCTGGGGATCGAGCCTGCAACCAAAGTATGTGCCCTTGACCGGAATTGAACCCATAACCCTTCAGTCTGTGGGCTGACACTTTAACCACTAAACCAAACTGGCTGGGAGCAAAATTGGTAGTTAATTGATTATTATTTTTTCTTATTTATTACCCTTCA